TGCCCGCGTGACGTCATTGCATATAATTATGACGTATGTTAATGATGATGCGCCACCACAATCTATGCTAATGATGATGCGCCGCCCCGCGCCACCACACGCCACCACAAAAATCCGGGTCGAACGGCCCCTATATTACTACTGGCGGAAAAGGTTTTATTTGGAGTTGCTGAACAGAAAAGTAGGACGTGTAAGCGGGTGTGGGGTCTTGCATATTTTCGAGCCTCTGGGCCTTGATTTTCAGCATTTTTAGACAAACAATTTTTTATTTTAAACCAGACAAATGCAACCGAGGAAACACAGTAACTATAACCACTGCTATTGCAACTGAGCCATAAATAAGCGAGCCCACTGAATTTCTAATGCGAATTCGTAAGTCAGCAATATCAGCGTGGTTACCCAAAAATCTGTTGAAAAGGAAAACGATTCTCTATATTAAGCTTCATAGTTTATAATTCATAATGACTTTGCCACGCAAAATATTACACTGTATATACCTGGGCAATGACATAGTCATTTTGTTTCTCATGGTTATATTTCAGAAATTTTCCAAGTGTAACATTGGGCAACACCTCAACCATAAAGACAGAACTGGGCGTTTGAAATTGCTGATCTGTACAGAAAAAATTAAAGGCGTTCCTCAATGGAAATTTGTTGACGGTAAAGTTATATACGTTTAATATGATTGAAACTGTTCTATGCGAATTTACATGGGCTGTAAATGCTACTGTTGCCCATGCGTCTAATTGACACAATGGGCAATCGAGGTCTTTTTATGTGTTTTCGTTGTCACATAGACGTTTGTGAGTTTTAATGAAAGCAAGTATTTCTTTGGAAATATAAATAAGTAGATTCTGAATGTGTAATCTTAGTATCTTATCACAGGTTCTCCGACATTGGGTGAGATATTCAACCCAGCTCGGGATTGTCCTGATATTGTTGATCAATTACCCGAAGCTGAGGATGGATTTTACTGGATTGTTCTGCCCAAAGGAACGAAGCACAAGGTATGTGTCTGGATTACGTCATGTCCACCAATAGCCATCTCGCGCCGTGGGATGCCTTCCCACCAGTTAATAAAAGAGACGGGAAAATGTGCAGATGCGTTTGGTTCATCTCGCAAGCCAGGCTCTCTACTTCCGCTTCGTGTTAAGCCTAGTTTCCATAAGGTCGTTAGCTGTCGTTACCTGTCTTTCGGGGTTCTTGGAGTAATCTTGAAAGACCGATAACGACTGAGTGAAACAGAAAACGACAGCGTCGCTGGCAGTCTTCCTAACGGCGCGAAAAACAAAATGGCGGCGCTTAACAGGGAGTTTCTTCTTCAACTAAATTTGTTTATACTCCTTGCGGTAAGGCGACAACAAAGAAAAAGGAAAAAACACCGCTTCTGGAACAGAGAAATTTTTCAGAAGCGAGAAGAGCTTGGTGCGTACCATAGCTAGTCCTAGAACTTCGTCTCCACGACAGAGAATACTTCTTCAGGTTCGTACTTTTATCTTTTATCGTACGTTTCGTCAGAATAGTCAATAACCCCATCTGTATCCGCCATTTTGAATTGGGAACAAGCAGCATTATGGGAAGAATCGTGTCGTTTCCTGTCGTTGAGATAGGATTTCTTCTATCCCAGCGACACTATCGTTTTCTGTTTCTCTCAGTCGTTATCGGTCTTTCAAGATTACTCCAAAGACACCGAAAGACAGGTAACGACAGCTAACGACCTTATGGAAACTAGGCTTTAGGAAGGGAAGCGGAACTAGAGAACTTGGCTTGCGAGTTGCCGTTTGGTAAACTTTATCTTTGGCCCTTTCCTTACATTCCTAGCATTAACGAAAAATTAAATTATAAAAAGTAATAGCATTGGTTATGTAAAGAAAAGTTAGACTTTGTCATCTAGATGTGTGCTAAATTTCAAGAGATGCAGCTTAAATATTGTGATTCTATGGCAGGCAGGCTCTTGCGGCTTATATAAAATCGGGAGAAAAACCTCAAAGCACAGCCAAGAATCAGCCGCACTTCTTACACAAGTTTTAGGTGACTACCCTGCACCAACATAATGTAGCCCTGACACAGTACTATTGTTTAAAAGTACTGTTAACCACAATAAATCCTTTGCCTGTTATCATAATACTCATAAGTCGGTATATATACTCATGAGCATGCTCATATATAGCTACAAAAATCCGGTATGCTCATGAACATATGCTGCGCTAATGGGCATGCTCCAGTGAAATGAATATAACTAGAACGCTACCTCCAACAGGAAATTTGAAGCCAACCTTCAAGACCAGTCCCAATCCTTTCACGCAAGCGATAAGCGCGGTCAATCCGTCAAAATGAATATGTACTCTTGAAAATCGGCTTAAAATTTACCCACAAAGTTTTCTGTCAATGCATTTATTCAGGTAAAACTTCCGTGTAGACTTTACTTTTAGTTTTTTCTTACAATTGTTTATTGAAAGAGCATTTTTCTGCGATAGAACTGTGCCTCGAGAGAAAAGCTAGACATAAACACGCGTGTCTGGGGGACAGATTTGGCTTCAATAAAAAGGCAGTTCATCTCAAGGTAGCGTTTCAGTACGTTATAATAATTTCACTGAGGCTAATTAGATCCAGTGAGCTCTATATATATCTGGAGTAATAGCGGTCACAGAACTGAGAATTTTTGGAGAAGAAAAATAACATATTCCTGAACGTAATATAACACAATGCAGCACAACAATTAAGTTCACATATGCAGCGTAATAATTAGTTGGGAGTAGAGAATTTAACTTGTCATTTCCTTGGGCAAAATAGATTTGGTGTGACGTACATACCGATGGTGGTGGATTTGCGTTGGTTGGAATGAAGGATAGTCCTGTATCTTGGACAGTGCCATCTAATTCTATCCCTGTTGATCCTCAAGGACCCCCACATTGGTCCAGTGATCTTGGTGATGTCGAAGTTCTGGACTTTAGAGTTCAATTTTCAACAGATAAAGGATTTGAAGGAGCAAAGGCAGACTGGTAAGAAAGCTTTGGTGAGAAGCAAAGGATGGCCAGTAACGGCAGTCGAACAACAAAAAATAAGAAAGTTAAGAGAAGCATATCAAACAATACACGAAATGTAACCAATTGAACGAACCATAAATAACTGGCGTGTAGCTGCAGAGGCCATTGGGTACACTCCTCTTCGTTTTTCTAAATACAACTTTTTGGGATTATACTCCCTTTCAAGACAAAATAATAAAAAGTATGCGTTTGCATGCACTTCTAAATTCGATTTGTTCTCCACTCCTCGTACCTGGATGTTCGGAAACTATCGGGTACTGTGAAAATTTAAAGTGTGATTAACAAAAGCATAAAAATCCTTTTTCACTGTAGGTTTTACCGATTAAATCCACAACGTAAGTTTGGAGATATCTTTTCTGTGGACAAAGGATGTCCTGATCTGCAAGCTGGAATTGGAAATATCGAGTTTGTTAAAGATCTGCTGAAGCAATCTGTCCTTACCAATAATTTCAAATGCTCAAAGTTTGGACCACATACACATCATATGTTGGGATGGGTATACAGCTGATTTTTTTAAAAAATCTGATAGTCTAGATCTATACTCTTCTACAGAAATCCCTTAGGAAAATCCATTTTTTGGTATTTCTATTGTATTTATATCTACAACTTCCTATTGATATTCAACTTTTTTATGCCTTCAAGACCCACTTCATTGTGAAAAATAGTTACTGGCATTCTCATTTTAGGGAAAAATGAATTACTGTCTTCGACATCAGTGCAATAACGGATACGCAATATTAGATGTAATTAAATTTCGATACGATAATTTTGGAGCATACAGGTATTGGATCACGGAGTTTTAATTGTCGTCAATACGTACATAACAAATAAATTTGAAATTACGATTCAATTTGATATTACCTATAAATAATCTACAAGAAAACAACATTTTAACTGTTTCATTTTGCATAGACGTTCGTTACTTCTTATTGACTGAAATTGTAATTTTCTTCAGCTATAGCGCTGTTTCTTCATTCTCTGGAATGAATCATAATTCCACAGCGTTTGTTGGATGTGATCGCGGCAAGGTAGTTATTTGTTAAAAACAAATAATGTTATTACTAAAACAACGTTCACAATAATTTGATTATGATCAATGTATGCTAGTCTCAAATTTTAATTATGTGGAATGTATCTAGAGAAAATTTGCATTTCTCCATATTTTGTAGTGTTGTGCATGTTTTGGACCTAAAGGTGGAAGACAAAACTACTGTGGTTCTAATTGCACTGCAATGAACGGTGGAACTGTAACGACAAAAGCTTTCGTTTGGTTTTGGGTGCGAACCAGAATGCCTGAACGTCTGTGGAAAAGATGTATGGAGTTTGTGGTGAAAAACTCCGCAGGAAAACCTGAAAAACATTTCATTGATCCACAAACAGGCACTGCACAAAAGGTGGGGACATTATTAAAAGTTAAAATGACACTATTGTGATTGATAGCAACAGGCAAAATACCACCAGAAGCAACAGCAGCGACAACAACAACAACAACAACAACAACAACAACAACAACAACAACAACAACAACAACAACAACAACAACAACAACAACAACAACAACAACAATAAAAATAAAAATAAAAATAAAGATAACGCCAATGAAAATGACAATGACAGTCAGAAAGACAACAAGAAAAACAACAACAAGAAAAACAACAACAACAACAACAACAACAACAACAACAACAACAACAACAACAACAACAACAACCACAACAACAACAACAATAAAAATAAAGATAAAAATAAAGATAACGCCAATGAAAATGACAATGACAGTCAGAAAGACAACAAGAAAAACAACAACAACAACAAGAAAAACAACAACAACAACAACAACAACAACAACAACAACATAAATAAATAAATAAATAAATAAATAATACCAACAACCGCAAAAACGACGATAAAGACAACAATAGCTGTGTCAGTAACAGCAATGTTCACAGAAATAGGAAAATCATCATCAAAAATAGCAATAACGACAAATTACAAACTAAATTTAACCAGCAGTTTGGTTTGTTTTTAGGGTTCCTGCTCAGGAAACCTTAGATCATTTTTAAACGAAGGTGTAAGTAGAATATTTCAGGCAAAGATTTATATCACCGACAGCAGTTATTCTGAACTTCTAACCCATTCTCTCAGACGGACTTCTGACGGCCGACTTCTGCTCAAGAGTCGGATATTTTTAATTAAGCTACAAGAAACCTTTATTCGTACTCACAAGAAAATTAGTTATTTACCTACGTTATAATACATACGTTATTTAGATATATTTATGAGTTAGAGTACTGGCTGCACGAAATAACCATAAGGGCTAGAGAGAGAGTGCAGCCAATAAGGACTGGGGAAGATATAGACATACAACAAGCTCACAGAACAGCTGTCTCCAACAGGATATGTACGTTGGAGAGAACTGCACACAAAGTAACCTCATTACAATGTACATTTTTACATCAAATAATAAAGTTAGTTTTTATTACAATTCTCAATATTTCTGGATCATTTCAATTTTTATTCTCTTTTTGAATTGCGAGAAAAAGAGAGATTTGACATTTTCTTCTAAAGAATTCCATATTTTAACACCTTGGAATCTTATATTAAAGATACCATAATTAGTTCTAGTTTTTGGTAAATAGTATGATTGTTTAACAGCAAGTCTTGTACTATAATTAGAAACCCCATGGACCGGAATATAAAACTGATCAAAGGCCACCGGTAATAAGTTATTATGGAATTTGTACATAAATTTAACAAGATGGAAAGAAACAAGATCAGACAGCTTCATGATATTCAATCTTTTAAATAAGGGACTTGAGTGTTCATCGTATTTTGAAAATGTAATTATTCGTATAGCTTTCTTTTGTAAAATATACAAGTGTTGTAGAGTAGAGGGGTATGTATTACCCCAAATAGTTATTCCATAAATCAAGAACGGGTAAATCAATGCATAATAAAGATTTACAAGAATTTGCTCACAAACATGGTAGCGTAATTTGGAAAGGATCCCAATACTTCTTTTAATTTTTTTTGCAATGTAATTTGTTTGACTTTTCCAGTTAAGATTAAAATCTATGTAGATTCCCAAATATTTAATACAAAGTTCTTGTTTTAATTCTTTTCCATTCAAATATAATTTGAGATTTGAGGATATTTTCTTTTGTGGAGGATGAAAAATAACAAAATTTGACTTTTCAATATTCAGAGAAATTCGATTTAAACACAACCATATGAGTACATGATTTAGCACATTATTTAAGTCATTTTGTAACGTAAGCAAATTTTTGTGTTTATAGAAAAGATTTGAATCGTCAGCAAATAAATGAAAATCTAAAAGTTTTGAGCAATAATTGAAGTCATTTACATATAGCAGGAACAGCAATGGTCCCAACTGATGTTATAGAGGAGTACTTAATTTAAGAGAAAGCATTTCTTTACTTTATTTTATTTTAGACATTGACAGTATCTGACAAGGAAAGTTTTGACAAGATTCCAGATGTTCCAGGTCTTCTCTCATATCGTAAAGATGACAAACAACTTTATATCAATCAAGGATCAAAGTGGCAAGCATTAAGTACTGAACAAGAGGTTAGTTTAATTAGAAATATAACAACATCGCTTGCACTGTTGAACTACATCATTACATTATGTAGCTGAAATTAATGAGTCAGTTTAGAATATACTATATGAGTATGACACACAATGCAGTATACACCGAATACACGAGGATATTTTTAGCTTACAATTTTAAGACGTATTTAGCTGAAGAAACCGGAGGCGAGCTGATTTCAAACATATTTTCAACGTAAATTCATGTAAAAAAAAGGAAAAAAGCCTTTGTCGCTAAAAAAGAAAGGTTTATTTCCTTTCCTAAAGTATTCTGTATAAAAAAACCATGCGTATCGTGTCTGAATGTAGCACGGTTATTAAAGACAACAACACAATTACTCCTAGTCAAATTCAATATGGCGGATTTACATGATTCGTCCTTTTAAGTAGGCATTCGATATTTAGTATATACACACGCATCGCTGAAGATTAAATCTATTGTAGTTTGAGCAAACCAAGAAACAAATCCAAAGTCAAGAAAAGAAAATTCAAAGTCTAGAAAATAAAGCCAACATTCAAGAAAAGAAACTTCAAAATCAAGAAAAGAAAATCCAAAGTCAAGGAAATATGATTAGAAAGCTAGAAAAAGAAAATCAAGGTAACAAAATAAAAGGATCACAAAAATGGTTAAGGTTATAGAAAATCAAACGTCCTAAAAGAAAAGTTAAATATAAATCTCCCGTTTGCAACAATTTTTAAAATAATTAAAATTGAATTAGTTACGATAAGGTTTTTAAATTTTATAGCATGCAGTGGTGAGAATATTTGTTATTATACTAATGATACCGGAAGGTAAAGTATAAAGATTTCAAAACAAAAACGAAAATTGTTGTTTCATAAATATTATGAACCGCGCTAATATGTCACATGTACATTCTCCAGCTTGTTCAATATTACGAAAAAAACGTTCATCATCAACTAGCAGAATGTATCATTTAAATCCCGAGGGATTCAGTTCGATACAACAACTCTTTTCAAAACTCCACGGCACCACTGCATCTACCCTGATGGAGCCAGAAGAGAATAAAGCTTGCGTCTCTCAGGAATTATTTTTGATGCTGGACCCCTGGAGAATTTGGAGGAGAACCCCAACTCATCAGTTTCTAATCTAATCATTTCTGGAAATTGCAATTCAACTGAAAGATCAACACAAGATGATCATCTTGTTGACGCATTAAGGCAGTTTTGGGATGTAGAGACGGTTGGCATGAAAGACGACAATCCACCATACAATCAAGTGATAGATAATATTCAATTTGACAAAGATCGTTATGTTGTTGGCCTTCCCTGGAGACAAGACTATAATCCCGAATGTACCAAATACGTGTTGAGTCATAACCGCTTAAGATCCATGCACTACAAGCTCAGAAATCAACCGGATATCTTAAAGGAATACGATAGCATTTTGAAGGGGCGACTAGTGTCCGGAATTATAGACGAAGTACCCAGCGAAGAAACCAAAGTGCAAGATCCAAACTAAGTCCAATATATATCTCACCACGCGGTCGTCAGGGAAGACAAGGACACAAGTCAGTATCGCAGCAGCGCTCGTTGAACGACTGCGTGGAAACTGGCCCAAACTTCACTCCAAAATTGTTTGAAGTGTTGATCAAATTTAGGAACAATCCGATTGGACTCGTTGCAGACATCGAGAAAGCTTTTCTCATGGTTGGAATACGAAAGGAAGATCGCGACCAGTTACGGTTCTTGTAGTTTAAGGATCCAGAGAGTGCAAATCCGGAAGTGGTACAAATGCGCTTTTGTCGCCTCGTTTTTGGGTTAAAGTGTTCACCATCAATGTTAGGAGGAACAATCCTTCACCATTTAAAATCTTATGAGGAACGCTTTCCTGACATCGTAGAGATAATTAAGGAATCCTTGTATGTGGACGATCTAGTGTCCGGATCAATGAACAATGAGGAAGCATTCAATATTTATGAGAACTCCAAGAAGATATTTTCGGATGGCGGTTTTAACTTAAGAAAGTGGAATACGAATTCGAAGGTTCACGAGGAGCAACCACGGCAGGAGGGTGACACCCAACCAATAACAATTGAAGAAGACGAAACATATGCCAAGTATCAAGTTGGTCCATACAGCAATAAGGATGAAGACGATACGGTGAAATTACTCGGAATTAATTGGAGCACTACGCGTGATTGATTCTGTATGCCAATATCTACTGATTCTGTATGCCAAGACCCTACCAGTCACCAAGCGATCCCTTCTGAAATTAACTGCGAAGATATTCGACCCACTCGGTCAACTTAAGCCCGTTCTCCACCAGGCGAATTTGTTCGCGCGAACAGTAAAAATGTAGGAACTGATCCAACTTGCTCGCGGCGAATTTTTTCGCTGACCAATCACATTGCCAAGATAAAAAATTCGCGCAGTGGAGAACGGGCTTTAGTCCTGCCACGATCAAGATGAAAATGATGTTTCAAATTCTATGTAAGGATGGAGTCGACTGGGACGAACAGCTTCATGGAGATATGAAAAGCCAATACCAAGGCTTCCTGGCGGACCTACAGGATGTTAACCGACTACGAATTCCCAGGTGCTACTTCATGACGGAGTGTATGCCGATATCAATCCAATTGTAACGAATTATGTAAATATGACGTAGAAATAATTCATGATGTAAACATGACGTAGATGCAAATTAATTCGGTTGCCATAAAAAGGGGCAACCATGTGCTAATATCAGAGAGAGAGAGCCATAAAAGCTTAACGAAGAGAAGTGGCACATGGTAGAAATGGTACTTTGGGTGGTGAATTGGAAGTCAAAAGGACTTGAGAAGTTGTTGAAGCCGCAAGTAAATGATCTTCGGTGATCGTACTAAAGGGCAGCGAATGGTGGTGTCTTCGATGACAACCAGCGCTCTGATGAATGCGAAGTTCAATGTATGGTAACTCAACCGTGATTTGAAGTTGAGCTTGACCACCGTCAAAGATAACTACGAAAGGCTAGATAACTGTACACCTATTCGCCGAGAAAGAAGTGCGGAAGTGCTGTGAAATCTTCTCTTCGAACTGGCTCGTATGTATTAGTAGATAATTATAGTTATCGTTGTTCAATTCTTTAAACAGTGAAGTAAAAATTTTCTTAAAATAAACATTGCTTGTGTGCCGGCGCTCACGTCGACGAATTGAGAAAAAATTCGTCACAATTGGTGGCAGTGGTGGGATTATTAACTGATCGGCACTGAATTATTTCTAAATACTCGATTTCTGTTTGGTTAAAAGAGAAAAATCGGGAAGAAGAATTTTTGGTTGTTGTCAAAGTATAATACTTAATAGTCTCAGTATTTCAAGCGTAAAATGAGTGATTATGATAATTGGTCATTAGACGGTTTACGAGATGAATGTCAGGAACGGCAAATAGAATTTAGTTCAAAAGACGGTGTTAAAACTCAGTCTTCAAAATTAAGAACAAATGATAAATTGTCAGATGTAGTTGTTAAGTCTGGGGAAGTGCAGAAAGAGTGTAAGAACATCGAAATGGGGACTGACAGAGAGATTTTGGAGCAATCTAAATTACCATCTAAAACAATAAGTGCCCAAAGTGATTTCAATATTAGCCATGACTATGGCGTGAAGGGTGAAATTCCCCAGGATCCCATGAGTTTTGAAAGCATGCAAAGCCGTGAACAAAGGGGATCCTTAACCTTTGAAGAAAGAATGACTCTATTGCGCTTTGAAAGAGAGATGGCATTAGCGCGAGAAGAATTTGAAGTGAGAAGTGAGGAGCGTAGACGACCGGCTAGAATGGAAGATAAAGCGTTTGAGTTAGAGTTAGAAAGGGAGCGAGAGAAAGACAAGACATGACAACGGAGAGTTAGAAAATTAGTAGAAGTACGGGAAATGAGAGAAAATGAGGATATTGATGACTATTTTCGTAATTTTGAGATGACTGCTAGAGCTCAATTATTCCCGCAGGAAGAGTGGTTGGGTAGTTTAGTACCCAGGCTAAGTGAGAAGGCTAAGTAAATATATTTAGAAATTGTTAGTCCAGACGCTCAAATTTACGATAAAAGTAAGACGACTATTTTGAATGCATATCAGCTTAACGTAGATCATTACCGATATCGATTTCGCCATTCAGAAAACATGCTGGCGAAGATTTTGGTCAGTGGGCTCACAGAACTCGCAGATATTTAAATCGGTGGATGACTGTAGCTAATACTAATAACGATCCAGACAAGATATTTGAATAATTTGTTATAGAAAGTTTGCTAGATGGGGTAAGCCCAGAGTTGCAAGTTTGGCTCAAGGAGAAAAAGCCTGAAAAGGCTGAGGAATTAGGAACTTTAGCAAATGAATATGTTCAAAGCAGAAAAGGCCCTTTAATTGATGGTAAATATGTAGAAGCAGGGAAAAGAGTAGATACCGTATTTAAGCGCATACCTGCGAATGTAAAACAAATAAGAGATCAACATATAAACGAAATAAACCCAAAATTTAAGCAAACGCGAGATAAAAGTAATTATAAGTCGAATGTTAAGTGTTCTAATTGTCAGGAGAAGGGTCATTATGCGCATGAGTGCCGTGCTAAAAAGAAATCTCAAAATGGAGCATGCTTAGGGTGGGCTTCTTTGTGCACCACCCTTGGGAGTTGTTTGGATGGAAATTTGAATGGGGAAAAAGTACAAATGATTATAGATTCCGGTTGTTCAAGAACACTAGTGCATGAAAAATTTGTGAATCGAAATTATTATACTGGTGAAAGCATTATGATTGTAACTGCGAATGGTGAAAGAGTCGAAGTCCCGTTAGCTTGGGTGACTATACAAAGCAAGCAAGGTATATATAGGGAATTAATAGGGGTTATGAAAAATCTCCCAGTTGAGTGCTTGCTTGGGCGTTCATCATATGGCAAATCTTTAGTGAAGGAAAACTTAATCGATCATTGGGAACAAGCTCTAAATTCAAAGTCGGAACCTAAGGCATTATATAATAGTGCAAATAATTCAGCCTATATGGTTACTCGTAGACAAGCTGCGCTCATAGAAGCTCAAAATAGGTTGGATAAGTTGACAGATAAACATAATGAGTTAGCTATTAAGACTCTTAGTCGTCAAGAAGTAAGTAATAAGGAACTTCTCGAGGATATAGAGCTGGGTGATTTGTTTCATGATAATAATAATAAACCCGATGGTAAAGAAGCCGAAGTAGTAGAAAAATTTAGTGATGCGTCTCCTCACCATTTTGTTGCGAAATTACCAACGAATATTTTAGATCGTAATCGTTCACAATTGATAAAAGATAAAAAAGCAGATGTTACATTACGTAATTTAAGTATATCAAATTCACCACCAGAAGATAATGATGCCTATTATTATAAGGATGGGGTTTTGTTACATAGAAAGCATACTAGATATCCATATGATGGAATTTCTTATGTGGATAGAGTGGTAGCCCCAGAGGCTTATAGACCCGAGATATTGAGAGTAGGTCATTCACTTCCAAAGGCAGGACATATGGGACAAGAAAACACCTATCAAAGGGTATCTAGGTATTTGTTTTGGCCACATATACCAGGGGCGGATCCAGGGGGTAGCAAGCGTGGCTTGAGACACGGTCAGATTTTTGAGATCGTCATATTCTCTAAATTGGTCTATAAGGACGGAAGCGATCGTTATTTATACGTATAAACGCCCCAAACATTACAACTTCAAACAGATATATACTCTTGGTTCAGCGTTACGTATTACTGGGTTTTTTTCAAACAAAATGGCGAAATAAATACGTAAATATCTCAAAAGATGTAATTCCTGTGCTGTAAAAGGTTCAAAACATTGGGAAAACCCACTGGGAAAACTCCGCACTTGCTGGATATTAAATGTTTGCCACGACGATAACCGAGAACTACTCGAAGTTGATCATTTTAAGTTCGGAAAATGTTCGTCAAATGCGACTGCGATTTTGAGACACGGTCCGCGGTTCTGCTGTTACTAAATATAGTAACTTCTTGACACGGTGGAGCGTGTCAAGCCAATCACAGGCCGAGATTTTGTCACGTGAGACACGGTGCGACACGGTGGCAATGTTTTTGTTGCGCAATATTATGGAAATGGTTAAATCGGGAACAGTTCGGAAACTTCTCACTGTGCATTGTTCGTGTATGCCTTCTAATACGAAACTTAGTGAAATTTTTTGGCGCTAAGACGTTAAGTTTCAAGCGGAACTGCTGAATCAACATTGTGGTCGGGAAGACAGCAAGCGAAGT